TTTACTTTGCTTCTTATTTATCATAAAGAATTGTCTCTATTATAAATATATATAATATACATATATACATTATTTTTCTTTGAGGCGAGGTCCTACGTACCCCAGATTGGCCCTGAACCCTCTATATATCCAAGGCTGGCCTTGAACTCCTGATCCCCCTGACTCTGCCCCCTGAGTACAGGGATTACAGTTGTGCATCACCACACCCAGTTCAGCTACCATACTTTGTAAGGTCTCTGAGAGATGTGGGGGAGTACTGAGCATTCCTTCCAGGCTTTGGAAAGTAGGGTCTCAACTTGAGCCCCTGTAACAGCGCTGGTACCTGGCTGCTCTGCACACCGCCACGGTGCATTTTGAGCCCTTGTTTCAGATAGCAATATTTCTGAAGCAAAATGGCACCAAACTTCCACACGAACGTTCTCCCTGAAACTCATTCATGTAGACTGATGCTCTTAAACCCCAGAGTCATATTTCAAAAAGATATTGACAGCTTCCCTCATGTGCTGCGAAGATTAGCTAAGGACAGTTATGTGTTCAGACAGAGCTAATGTGTAAGCACACCGAGAACTTAGAACGAAGGTACTAGCCATGGTGGCATATTCCTGTATTGCTAGCACTCAGGAGGCTGAGGCAGAGGGACTTCCATGTGAAGGACAGCCTGGGGTGTGTGGTGATTTCAAACCTAGCTGCAACTCTGTGGCGAGATCCTGCTTTAAGAGCAATAACAGCAAAATCAGCAGTGATCTCACATACAGCTCCTTCAGCAAGCCATGACCTTGAGGGTCCACTGCAAGACATTCAGGGCGGTGAAGTGACGGGGTCACGATGTCCCTTTGCACAGAAGGCTGAGCTACCTGCTTATAAAGGGAAAGAGCACTTAGCTGGGCCATGAACTGTGTAAATACCTGGCTCCTTTTTTGCGGTGGAGCCTTTGGAAGGTTAAGGGATAGTGAATAATCAACCACACTTTCTTAGATTGGCTGCATTTAGTTTTCTCGGAAAGGCTCCCACTGGCACCCCCCTCCTCGTCCCTCCCCCTCCAGAAGATGAAGCAACCGTGAAACTGAGAGCAGTATTTCCTTATAGGACTCCCTCTTCAAACATTCAGAGAACAAGATCAGGCCTGGTCTAGCTGGCAGAGACTGCCCCCGGGAGATGGCTAGACTTTGTTACATGGTGAGGGCCGTGAGTTAGAATTTAACAGGAGAGAGAGTGAGAAACTCCCCACACCATTTTGGAAGTCTCTACACAGGCCTCCCAGAGCCACCAGTCAGCAAGGAAGGGTGAGATCAGGGGCACAGAGAGCCTGGGAGCCAAACCTCAGGACACAGGTGATGTTACAAATAACAGAAATAAATACCCAGAGGAATAAGCCATACACAAACCGAGAAGGATCAGCCCAGAGCATCTGCCCTTGGTGTCTGGTGAAAGATTATGACATCATGATTGGCAGCCCCGGGGAGATGATGGATGAGCTGTGTGTAGGCATCCAAACCACAGACATAAATAAAAGCTGTACAGAACTGAGTTGGACGGACCAAAATCACATCACGTCTGTTCATTGGTGTTTTGCTCGTCACGTTAAGGGTTGGAGAAGGAACCTATAATAGTCATTCGGGGACAGACATGTGACACATGCCTCAGCCGGTTGAGGCAGGAAGAACATGAGTTTAAGACCAGCCCGAGCTACACAGTGAGTGTCAGGCCAGCGTGGACTACATAGTGAGAGTTTGTCTCCGAACAAAACCAAAACAGAACAAAACTCAATTCTGTTGGTTAAGCATCTACTAGGTACCAGGTCTCATGGTTCGGAACGCACCCAGTTTTATGGTACTGGCGAGGCAGGGTGACGATGCCTTTGAACTTCCCAAGAAGGTTGAAATTTTACAAGGTCCTTCCCTGCT